TTCCGATCTCTTGCAGCTATAAAAATGTTTCAGAGTTTTAGTGTCATTCGCCATTTCAATGCGAATAGAACTGTCATCTCTGTTTAACGCAAAATGGCTGATTTGACTGCGTACGAAGAAGTATTTCATTATCTTCGCGACAACGAGTACCCCAATTCTTACAACAAAGACCAGAAGAGGAACTTGCGGAAAAGATCCCAAAAGTTTGTCCTGGAGGATGGTGTGCTGTTTTATAAAGGATTGGATAACTCTGAGCCACGACGGTGGGTGCCTAACGTTGACGAGCAAAAGAAAATTTTAACTGCATGTCACTCCGACAAACAGCCACGGTTTTCGTGATCACAACGAATCATGAGACTCTCCAAAAATTCCGTCAAAATTCTCGGTGGTTTGGTTAAGGTTTCTTCTGTCAGATGGCGTTGACACATAGGGCAAGTTTCTGAGTTTTCGTGCAAACACTTTTGAATACACGAGCGGCAGAAGTAGTGTTCATTCGGGCATTGTACTGGATCCTTTAAGACCTTGAGACAAATCGAGCACTGCAGTTTAATGTCCACTTTGTTCTCGACTTTGTTTTCAAACCGTTCTTCTTCATATCCACCGAATGAATCTCGTCTCGCCATATTTCTTCCAAACAGGTTGAAGAAAACGTTTTCTATGTTTTAGATATCGTTGTTAGAAAGACAGATTGTATAAAAGCCTCCTTGTCTTGCAGTTGTTGATAATGAAAGAAGATAGTCTGATACATACTAAGACGATCATAAGACCCCTCAAACCGGTTTTGATATGCTTGGAATGTTTTTAATCAATACTTTGAACTGGAATTCATGGAATCGTGTTTATATTTCTAACTAAAAAGCATTATTTATTTGTAAAAACTATTCTTTTGCTAACATCTCGACTTCTTGACTGAAGACAGAGTTAACTGGACTAACTACAATTCTTATTTTGTGCTACAAAGCAGTTAATGTAAGGCTATAATTTCGTTCGCAGTTTCACTTAGATAAATAACATTGACGTATTTAATTATTAAATCCAGTGGCGGATCCAAACCAGTTTATTATATACTTCTCAAATTTGAAAAAATCTAGCTATCATGTAATAATCTTATTGAGAATATTCTGTTTCGTAAAATGTTCGCAGTGGTTATTCGTCTGATACCAGATCTCAATATCTAGACACTACTCGTCTGACTTATTAAGTATTTCCCTCGTTCGCTAAACATGCTGAAAATCGACTAGAATTTATTTGGTATAATACCGTAAATTATACCAAATAAATTCTAGTCGATTTCAAGCAAATCCTCGTCAGTCGAGTGGTCAAGGCATTTGCCAGAGTGCGCGCTATCGCCGAGTTCGAGAGTGGAATTTCGAGCGTATATGTAAGAAATAAGATTATAAGAACCGATTAGGGTTAAAGAGTTAGGAGGTTTAGGAAAAATTTATTGTAAATAAGGATTTATCGCGTTGGTTTCCGCTTACGAAACGTTGTAACCCCAGACTAATATATTTGCTTATATATCGTTGTGGGTAAACGTCGCGTGAGTCATGCTCGCATGGCCGCCGGTAATTTTGAGTAAACTGGTAGTCAGAGTTTTTCCAATGAAAGTGAACCACTGGAGTGAACCGGTTATTGCAATACGCCATGGGATTGGCTTCGCCGGCCCCTTGAGAGAAAATTCTTTGCAAAATCAAACCTCAAAATTCTCAATAAACATGTTGCTAACATTGTGGATGACGTCATTCAGGAGTTTCGTGTGTGGCAAGCTTTACTCCACTGAACTCTATATATATCTGGAGTGAGAACTCGAGTTCAAAAAGTGAAGCCAGCTCCGTGTTAACCGCGTAGACAAAAACAATAGAAAGGGACTGGAACTGACGTCCTACAGCTCCTTCAATTTCCGCCATCTTGGCAAGGAGTGTGCAGAAATTTCTTATTTTGACATCGATTTAAAGAATAACACTATGGTTTTATGAACTGATAACTTGGTTAGCGATACGGTCCGTTAGAAAAAACTGGAATTAGCTGGGGGGATGATATAAAAGCTGTTGACGTCCTTCAGAGCTATTGGACGTCAATGGCCGCCATCTTGGCTTCACTTTTTTTCATTGGCCGAATGACTGAAGTTCACGCTCCAGATATATGTAGCTCACTGACTTAAACCCTTTAAGTGGAAATGTGCCCTGACTTTGTTTTACTCTGTCTAACGCCAGACGATTTTACTCGTCATGAAGGGGAGAGTGTTGCTACTCAATGGGATAAATTTCCATATTTTCTCTACGCAATAGACACTGCCGAATTTGCTGATGAAAACTACTTCTTACAATGGACGACATTGTCCACCTTCAAACTATTGTTTTGTGTTCACTCAAGCAAGTGTCTATTCTCAGCATGCAGAAATGTTATAATGGTGATTTTGAAAATGACTGAGATTGAAACTGAGATTGTCCCATTTCATCTCATTTAGAGACAATAAAAGACCAAAACATTTTCTGATGTGATTTTAAGTGATAGATTTATTATTAAGGATTTGGTTACATTATAACAATTAATTAAAATTAAATACATTCTAAGATAATGGACTCACAACTGCAGTTGCACCACCTCGATTAGTTTTCATTGGTGACAGTTCTCTCCATATATTGCTACTTAAATCTAAACACTCTACAGAATTGAGAAATGTTTTCGTGTCATGATCATATCCGCCCATAACAATGATAACATTGCCAGTGATAACTGCTGCACTTCCTACTCTTCTATGATTAAGGCAAGGTAACATTTTAATTTTTTCTGTTTTTACATCATACATTACTGCACTGTTTAATGTTTGACCTTTCTCATTAACACCTCCGATCAAAATTACATTACCTTTATAACTAACACTAGCCATATCAGAAATAGCAAATGGCAGTGGTGGTAAGGTTTTACATTCATTATTGTTCAGGTCATATACGTACACAGTGTTTTTAGTGTCCTTGACGTATTTTGATGCCATTCCTCCAGCCACTATCACCTGGTTGTCAATCATCTCACAACTATGCCGAGTTCTTGGCTCTGCCATCTGGGTCAGTAATGTCGTGTCATGGGGAGGATTTAGACTGATTTCGTAAATCCCATCTGAAACATTGTCATCGTTACTAATTCCACCAGTTAAAATAGCACTGTTCTCGTGACAAACCATTGTGTGTCCATGACACTTCAGTGGCATCTTGACAGGAGACTTTATCCATTCTAAATCTTCTTCGTCAACATTGAAGCTTTCAACACTGTCAGTGTTCTTGGTTCCAATGATGCCGCCACTGACGTATATTTCACGACCATGGACCAATGCTGAAGGGCTTGATCGTGCCTCCTTCATTGCTGGTTCCAATGTCCAGGAATTCTCGGGCCAGCTGTATGACTCTACAGAATTAATGACAGTCTTACCATCCCACCCTCCACAAACGAAAATCTTCTGTCTGCCCGTAACTAAATTGTATCTTTCGGTTGCTTCTTTTGTAAGATATGCCATTTCCTCTTGAGTCAACTTTACTTGCTTTACTTCATCCTTGACTTCCCTCACATCATCCTTGACGTCCCTCACATCATCCTTGACGTCCCTCATATCATTTTGAAAAACGTTCAATCTTCTCACTAAATCGTCCATTTCTTTTCGCATGAAGCACGGGTGTACACGACTTGACTTCCATATTACTTGTTCTCTACACTCGTCGCAAACGATCTTACGAAACTGACACTGTTCACGTTCGTGTCGTTCTTTCTCGTGTCGGTTCATGACCATTGTACAACCAGCGTTTGTACAACGCGTTGGTGAATAGCCACAGCTGTTGACATGTCGCTCAAGAAATTCAAGCTTGACCAACTCTCGACAGCCACGGTTTTCGTGATCACAACGAATCATGAGACTCTGCAACAATTCCGTCAAAATTCTCGGTGGTTTGGTTAAGGTTTCTTCCGTCAGATGGTGTTGACACACAGGGCAAGTTTCGGAGTTTTCGTGCAAACACTTTTGAATACACGAGCGGCAGAAGTAGTGTTCATTCGGGCATTGTACTGGATCTTTTAAGACCTTGAGACAAATAGAGCACTGCAGTTTAATATCGACTTTGTTTTCAAACCGTTCTTCTTCATATCCACCGAATGAATCTCGCCTCGCCATTTCTCTTCCAAACAGGCTGGAGAAAACGTTTGCTATGTTTTTGATATTGTTGTTAGAAAGACAGATTGTATAAAGACCTTGCCTTGCAGCTGTTGATAATGAAAGAAGATAGTCTGATGACGTGTCGTTATATCATAAGACGATCATAAGACCAGTTTTGACATGCTTGGAATGTTTTTAATTAATACTTGGAACTGGAATTCATGGAATCGTGTATATATTTCTTACTAGTTACTACAAAGCATTATTTATTTGTAAAAACTATTCTTTTGCTAACGTCCCGACTTCTTGACTCAAGACAAAGTTAACTGGACTAACTACAAGGCAGATATTGATGTAAGGCTAATTTCGTTCCAAGTTTCACTTTGATAAATATAACAATGACATATTTTGTTACACGGATGATGAAATCCAAGGGTGGATCCAGACCAGTTTAACAGGTTTATATATACTTCTGAAATTTGAAAAAATCTATAAGAAAATCTATAACTATAAGCTATCATGTAATAATCTTATTGAGAATATTCTGTTTCGTAAAATCACTAAAATGTACGCAATGATTATTCGTCTGATACCAGATCTCACCGACTCTGCTATAAATGATACCAGATCTCACCGATACCAGATCTCACCGACTCTGCTATAAATATTGGAAGAATGTTCAATACCTATCGGCGGGACCGACTTACACCAGGAGGGGGTGTATTAGCATATGTGAACGCTTGTATACCAACTACATGTCTAAAAAATTTAGAAGAAGATAACAGAGAGG